AAAAAAAAAAAAAAAAAAAAAAAAAGAGTATTGTGATGTGTGCCTTTCGGGGTTTTTCAAAGAAACAGAGCCAATATATATATACACACTCTTGTTCTATATGTATACTACATATAGATTAAGCAATTGTAGGGGCTAACAAGCTGAGATTTGTAGGGCAGGCCAGCAGGCTGCAAGCTTAGAACTTGGGCAGGAAGTAACACTGCAGTCTTGAGGCAGAATGGAAACCACAGTTTTTGCTCTTAAAGTCTTTTTTTTTCCTTTTTGAGAAGGAGTGCAATGTAGTACAGTTCACTGTAACCTCTGCCTCCCTGCTCCAAGCAATTCTCCTGCCTCAGCCTCCTGAGTACCTGGGATTACAGGCACATGCCATCACGCCTAGCTAATGTTTGTTTGTTTGTTTGTTTGTTTGTTTTGAGACAGAGTCTTGTTCTGTGGCCCAGGCTGGAGTGCAGTGGCACAATCTCAGCTCACTGCAACCTCCGCCTCCCAGTTCAAGCAATTCTCCTGCCTCAGCCTCCCAAGTAGAGTAGCTGGGATTACAGGCGCACACCACCACACCCAGTTAATTTTTGTATTTTTAGTAGAGTTGGGGTTTCATCGTGTTTGCCAGGGTGGTCTCCAACACCTGACCTCACGCTATCCATCCACCTGAGCCTCCCAAAGTGCTGGGATTACAGGCGTGAGCCACCATGCCTGGCCACTCTTAAAGTCTTTTGTGGGGACTCACTCAGAACCCAGAGTTGGTATAAAGATTATTTTAAGCTGAAGACATTTGAGATTCAACAGACCAGGAAAAAAGACTTCTCTAAGTTATACTTATCTGACTAAAAACAACAACTTCTGGGAAACAAGGCTGCCATCAATTCCTATTGAGGGTACATCTACTCCCAGAAGGAAACCTAACCCAAATTGAATAAAACCTACCCCAAATTGCTTCTGCAGGGGAGTTATAGCCCTGAAGCAGATGGAAAGACCACTTATACCTGTATAAGCAAACATTACCACAAACTTTCTTTCTCTTTTTTTGAAACAGAGTCTCACTCTGTCACCCAGGCTGGAGTACGGTGGCATGATCTCGGCTTACTGCAATCCCCGCCTCTGGGGTTCAAGTGATTCTCCTGCCTCAGTCTCTGGAGTAGCTGAGACTACAGGCACCTGCCACCACGCCTGGCTAATTTTTTTTTTTTGAGAGGGAGTCTTGCTCCTGTTGACCAGGCTGGAGTGCAATGGTGCCATCTTGTGTCACCACAACCTCCACCTCCCGGGTTCAAGTGATTCTCCTGCTTCAGCCTTCTGAGTAGCTGGGATTACAGGCATGCGCTACCACACCCAGCTCATTTTTTGTATTTTTAGTAGAGACAGGGTTTCTTCATGTTGGTCAGGCTGGTCTCAAACTCCTGACCTGAGGTGAGCAGCCCGCCTCGGCCTCCCAAAGCGCTGGGATTGCAGGTGTGAGCCATCATGCCTGGCCCATTATCACAAGCTTTCTTACCTCCTGTTTGTTCTCCTGAAAACCCATTAATCTTCCAAAATTGTCATTTGTTTTCCCACAGGTGCCTTTCTCTCCTTCCCCTTCATCAATTAAGATGGCATATAAGCCCCAAACTCTAGCCAGCCCTTTAAATTATTCATCACAGAATTCTCACATTTGTGTATACCTTGCACATGTGAGTATGAACTATTTTTTTGTTGTTGTTGTTGTTTGTTTTTTGATTTTCTCCTATTAAAGTATCCTTTGTGAGTTTAATTTATAGGCTTTAGCTACTGAATCTAAGAAGTTGAGAAGTTTTTTTCTCTCCTACACTCTCAATTGGTTGGATGAGGCCCATTCACATTACTGAAGATAGTTTCCCTTACTTAACTTCAACTGACATTAACCACATCTACAGATTACCTTCGCAGCAACA